GGGAGGAGAGTGCTTGGACGGTAGTTCGAGGGCTCCGAACGATTACCACTTTTGTAAATAGGAGTGACTAGTCCATGTTTCCACATTGTCGGAACCTGTAATTCGCCGAGACAAAGTTGAAAAAACCGAGCTAATGGTTCGGCAAGGTTCATGGCCGCTGTCTTCAAGGCCTTCGGTTTGATGTCGTCCACGCCAGGTGAGCTGTGCACGCGCAATGACATTAGCGTTTTCATCACATTGGCTGCCGTGAACGATACGTGGTTTAACCCTGGTGGCGATGGAAGCTGTGTAAAAGCGGATGAAATGATGATTCACTCCGGAAAGTATGGATGAAGTGTTGGCGAAGCACGTTGGCTGCATCTTGTGCGGTTTGCGCAAGACCATCTGTTGCACGTAAAACCGGGATCCCGCGCTGCACTCTGCGGAGCTTGTTGACGTGTCTATACAGCAACTTGGGATTTGTACTGAATTTCGCCGCTAAGTTCTGTTGGTGCTGGAGTTTGTCTTCGCGGATCAACTTGACGCAGTGGTTTCGTTGAGTTGTGTAAGCACCCCAGGTCAGGTTACTTGGACAGACTTTGTAAGCGCGCCAGGCTGAATCCCTTAAGGCCATGCATTTTCTAGTACGGCTCCTCAGGAACGAATTCACTTGCTTCGAGCGAAGGACCTTGCTTTACAACGCATTTACCACTAGCTCAGTGAATTGCATGAGGAACAACATGCAGGCGACATCGGGCAGCTTCTCGGCCAGGAAGGACCAGTCGGTTTCTTGAAAGAAGTTGGACAGTATATCGTAACCTGTTACGACATAGGTTTCCAGGTTGTTCTTACTGATGTACTCCGAGTAACAGATGTAACGAAACAGCAACATCGCGTGATCGCTACGGCCAAGTGGTGCATCTATGGTCACGGTGTCGACCAGTAGTTCCTGCTTCGTGAACCTAAGATCTAAAACGGAGGGTGTGTCACCCGTTCGGAATCACGTGGGATAAGTGACATGGTTGTACAGAGGTACATCGGCGATCACCTCTTGCAAATCCGCCTTGAATGGTTCGCTGTGTGATGCTGCAACTTCGATTGCGTGCAGGTTGAAGTCCCGCACCAGAAGTATGTAACTGTATGGTCATGCCAGGACTCGTTTCATCGCAGAAGCTAGGCATTGATCCATTTCTAAGGTGGACATTTGCGGGCGGTAAACTATTGCTAGTGAACACACATAATCACGTCTTAGGTGCATACGACACCAAAGCGAATTGATGACTTTCATTGCTGGGACCTCAATGATATCAACTTGCAGGTGGGATCGATAATACAGGCGCACTTCCCCTCCTCTGCTAGCTCGATCGTTTCGTAGGGAAGTCATGCCGGGTAGTACCACCGCAACACCCGTGGTCTCCGAGTTCAGCCATGTTTCGGTGACTATAACTAGGTCCCAAGGCGTGGAGACCTGACGAATTCGAAGTTCGGTTAGCTTGCTGAGAAGACCTTGTGCATTGATATACAAGCATGTAAGGGTATCGGTGGTTAGAAGGGTGCTTGTGGATGCTGGATTTTCGGTGAGGTTCTATGCCGAGCCCTGCGGGGTCGGCTGCCGGTCGTTTTTTTGAGGACCAATGACGCAGGCCCTAGGGCCAGTTCAGATTGTTGTATAGAGCTCTCGGTGCCAACAACAGGGTGACCACACTATCCTCCTTCGACTGTCGGTGTGTTTTTGCATTGTTTGCATTCTGAGCTACACGGTAACAGAATTGTATTGGTTAGTTGCTTGCTCAGTGTTACCTTGTCTATCTGTGGCTCGGTACCTACCGCCTTTATACGTATTTCGGACAGAAGCATTGTACATTTATGCCACATTTTGATCACATGTTCTGCCATCAGTTCGGAGTGCAATGATACTTTCATCGATCGGGGACCACACCCTTTGTAGTTAGGTGATAGCGATAACCCTGACGTCGAATTAGGGATAACATTTTCGAGTGAGAGTACTTCACGAATAAAACGCCATTCATCCCAGTCACGCTTTGTTTTCTAGCTCGCCTGATTTCTGGAGCTCGAGGACACCCTGAACAAGGATAGATTTTGCGTCCTGTTGTTTACGCAAGTCAACCGGATTTTGTTCGTGTTTCTGGCGTTCGCTCCGAGGAACATCTGGAATAATTCGAAGTGCATGCGGTGGTACGGAGGCGAGTGGCTGACAAGAGAACTGCCACTGCATCATTATCTGACTGAAGTGTTACCTGGAGTAACCGCGGTTCACCGTAGTGCACGGAGTTTGGGTGACGGAGGAGACGCATCATACTGACTGCTTTAGCTAGAACCCCTATTAGTTGACACAGGGAGTCCCACTGTTTCCTGTCGTCTTGTAGCTTATCTTTTGTGGAGTTCGCCCCGGATGCAGTCACATTAGAACAAATAACAATAGGAGAATTATGATATTGTTTCATGTTATCTTTTTCCGAGGGACCAGTGGCTGCTTTCTTCGGGATGACAGCTGATGGGGTCGTGATTCCCATGGTGGTATTGTTAGTATTAACTCGTTTGGCAGTGGGCGCGGTTACCACGGGAGGTGCCTCTGTCATATGGTCAGGCATAATGGATGTGTATGTTGTCGGCCCAGTAACAATGTTCCATGTGGCGGGTGATTCTGTTGAGGAATGTGTCGCGAACGCATCTTTATGAGCAGACGCTAGTGTCCGGGTGGCTAACTGGATCGTTACTGTTACACTGTGCTGAATTGGAGCTTGATGTTGAGCATCGAATTCCAGGCACTGATTTGTCTGGTTCATGTGGTACAGCTTTCATGGCTGCTGCCTGCTCTACAATCTTTGTCAGCCTATCTGACTGATGATGACGCGGGGCAGTGAAAGCTGCAAGGAAGCTGTCTTGCCGATGCCGCCTTTGGTCAGCTGTTTTTGACGGTAAATTGTTGACACAAGATGTAGGCGGCTTGACTCCGAGTGTTTGTTTAGGGCATTAACATTTTACGTAGGTCCCTCTTCTCCCCCGTTATCGTTCTTCGTTCCGTAGGTCACCGTGATTGTACAGCAACGAAGCATCAGTTCAAATGGTTGATGTACTGCTGTTTATGATTATTAATGTTCTATTTTTCTCTCGACCATCCTACAATACTTATCATACTTGACTTCTTGACCCGTTACGTACCATTTTTGTAATGTTCCATCGCTTAACAACGGCATGACAGCAGAGTCCCAATATACCGTCCATCGCCCACTGCTAGTTTTTTAGTTCATGTTTTGACCATATCTTCCAACTTGATTTGATCTCGTTGCTAGCTTATTTAGCAAGTCGCACTCAGTGCTGACCAACGATCCGATTGAATGAGGGGTAGTTATAAACACTGGGCATTAGCAACTGATTACAGTAGTGTTTCTACTTCAGTTAGGCGTCCGGTCGTATTTTGGGCCATGTATACACAGTTACTGTATACTTAACGCAGTATCATCAAGAAAGGAACAATGAAAACCCTGCAGTTTATGCAAACTTTTACGCTTTGGTCTGTTCAATATTCGGTCTTACTATTCGGTCAATCGGCGGAATACCGGAACAATGGCAACAAAGCTCAAACTCGGCCGGTTTGGAGCTATTGTCTGGGTGAAGGATATAAGTTCAAGGAAATTAGTGTCAACACCGTATGTCTCTGTGGGCTTACCCTGATATTCATGCAAAATCCAAAGTTATATCCGACTACCCTTATTTAATGAGAGGTGTACGAGCACAGAGCTTGGTTGCAGTTGGTAAACACCTGATGAACTGATTCGTAGTAACAACTTCAAATGGCGTAATGATGCGCAGAGTGGTTTACACTAGTAATGACCGTGGGGCAGAAAGGACAAAATTCGGAAGTGCCTTAAACAACTCACACATTCCTTGGGCTGTGAAATAATTCCGACAACATTCAAACAGGATTTTTGCATGCCCGGATTAAGCTGGTGCGGCCTTAGTTTGGTGTTTTGATTGTTTCAAGAGATGGTGGCAAAGGTGCCAGGTATTAGTAAATTTAAAGTTCAAGCTGTGGTCAAACCGAAAATGACGGCGATTTCCGCTGTAAAGTCTTAGGTCCATCAGTCAAGTGTACGTGGGAGTTATGACAAGCCACTCATATTCCTAGTTGTCCCACTTTGTAAGGTCTGGTGTTCAACTAGCTCGCTTTTCTACCAGGGTTGCTACACCTGCACTGCTTACTCCACACGGGTCTTTACGTGTGCGTTGTGCATTTACAGAAAAATAGAAAGGTCAAACCCAACTAATGTGCTCCGTAACAGACTCAATGACTGGTTTCAGATTTTTGATAATTTCGCGGACTGTATTTCGAGAGCTATCCCAGACAGTTTCGGATTGAGTCTGTGTACAGTGTTGCCGGATGATACACTGACTGGAGCTGAGGACCTCGCAGTAGTACAGACTTACGTTACCTGTGTTGCAGCACTCATTTCGAACAACGGACGTATGCTGCATCGCGAATTCGGTGTCGATAACTTATCAGAGAAACTGCGTTCAACTTATAGAGTTCAGGTCCTTGATGTATGAGCTGTGGCGTCGTAGCAGTTCAACAAGTTTGCTGGGGATGCCTTGTGCACTGGTGTATACGCATGAAGTTTTCTCTAGTCTCGGTGATGATTCTGGAAGGGGGTTTTGGTATGAGGTTGCGTCAACGGGCGAAGGGTAAATGACTAACCATGTTGGGGTGAAACCTTGACGATTTAGTGTCAAATCAAGCAAGTTCGTAAGTTGTGCCTCGATCAACTCGTTGTGTAGAATGTACGCCCTGTTGTCCCCACTTCAATTCTTAATATCTACCTCTTACTAAGATTTCTTTTTTTACGGTTGCTTAACGCAGATCGTTGTAGTAGCACTGTTCTGAGTAGCCACACATGGTCATAGGTTAGAATTTTCGTCGTTGTTTGCCTGCCACTCTCATCCTCAACCCACACTGATCCCGACTCTGTTTTATCTCTTCCCCTCACAATCGCGTACTACAGGAGTTTGGAAAAGAAAGGTGACCCAGACGTATTCATTCGCATCCTGTGCGACCGCAGCAAATACCATGTGAAGGCAATATGGGAATTGTACAAGCAGGTATGTCCACCCACTTCAATGGTATAGAGCCCAAAGACTGAAGAATTTCGAGCCAACATGGTTGGGTAGATATCGACACCACATAATGCAACCTCACAGTGTACATTCAATCGCATGGTCAGACAGTTTGGCATTCAATACCAACGGATTGACGTTGACAGTGGCCGTTCGGTGGTCCACCCAAATTTAAGTTACGCGACGTAAACACTAGTTGTCAAAAATCACCGATCGATTTGTTCACCTAGTAAAAATCATGCCTCTAAAACATACAGCAAGTAACAAGTGGCCATGTTCTATTCATGGGCATCGGATTTAGTGTATTCCGTTAGAAATGCCACCAGGAATAAGAAGTATTTTCTTGGTTGCTAAAGCTTGAAGCCGCTGCACTTTTGTTCGCCGCCAATATTTTACCGTCAAACGTCTTTTACGTTCACCTTGATATCTACCTAGTTGATCCGCATTATTGCGCCAACATAACAGCGAAAATATACTTTGCTATATGCCTGCGTGTTGTAAACTGTATGACAAACGATAAAATGCAAACGGATGACCGGTCTCGTAGACTGTTAACTGATTTCACGCTTGATATCACATGGTACATGACCTTAATAATACATCCACCTCATGCACAGCCATAGACAATTGTTTTCCGCTCGCATAACTGTTCATTTAGGCAACTAAGTAATACGGAGTACTATCGGTGAAGTTCATATTTATTGAAATTTCAGAGATATCGAACAACGTTGGTTGAAGCCATATCAAAGAAATTTTCGGATCCGTTACGAACTGGACTGAATACAGTTGGTAAGTTGCTGAGGTGATAGCGATCTTTTCATGACTCAAGGAAGCAGTGAGTAACTATACCTGGATAGACCAATTCGAAAACGCGGTCTTGAGTTATATTTCCTACAAGTCCGTGTGTAGTTTGTATGAGAAGATAAAGGACTAATTTACCTCATTCCGTGTGGCCGAAACGTTGCAAATCGGGTTGTGTCCGCCCGTAACCTAGAGGTAACGAGTTTATCTCGTAAACTTGCGGCGCGGGATCGAATCCGCGTACGGGTGGGCGTCCTCGTAGTACATTCTGCCCACGTACGACTGGTGGTGGTCGCACGGCAGTGAAGTGCTGTTACGGTGTACAGCTGAACATCATTATTATTAATATGGTTGTGCATCTAGCCTAAATCCCTTGGAGACATCCGGTGGACTGATATGCGGTGCCATATCGCGTTAAGTGATCATATTTTAAGCCATCAAGTTTGCTCATTTCACTGATGCAAACAGAAGTATTAATACCCAATTTCCTTACCAACCACTATCGTCGGGGAACTGGTAACCGAGTGGTTGAGCGGTCTGAAGCGCCCGTTTAAGGCAGTGGTCCGAAAGGGCATGGGATCGAGGCCCACCACTTTCATGGGGATTTTGTCATCTGATGAGTACGGCTTGGTTCTGCTACTCCTACTACAACGGCGACGAACCCCTGAGAAGTGCCGCCTCGCAATCAGTTGCGTCAAACGTGCATTGAATCGTAGCCGATGGAGTTGACAAGTGTCTTCCCTCCTGCACTCTAGGCACTAATAAACCAACAATCAGAATGAAATGTTAATCAGTTGATGCTTGCGCATCAAGTTTATTTCATCCAAAGATACCTGGTACCTCGGAAACTAACAGGCATATACCACTTGCAGGCCACTTTACTAATCCATTCATTCTTGTTATATTAGCCGCCCCTCGCCACACACTTCAATCCTTTTCACTAAACATAATTTGGAAAAATTTGGGACCATATTGGCACTACGCAGTGTAAGCATGCATTGTATACTCGATTACATGGTCACGGAGTTCGCTACCGAATACCAACAAGTCGACATCAGCAGTACGCTGCTGAACCGACAGAGCGTTTAACTCCAGTCTTCCGCTTCGCCCTTATTGTTTCATTGGTTCATCGGTTTGTAGAGTCGAAAGGAACTCCTTTGTCGACCCCATCACATCCCTCTCACTGCAAGAAGCATGTGAGTTATTGCGGCAGTGTTCCACAAGACAGCACTGCGGTCACAGTCAACACAGCAAGTTCCATGCTTGTTCAACAAATAGCTTTCGAGCAATTGCTTGAAACATTCCTCTGTTTGTGCACTGACGACTAGCTCAAGTAAACTGTACCAGCCATTCACCACACGAGTTGACAAAGTGACATCAGAGTAAGGCCGTAGTCTCCCTCATTGAGTTCATTGTTCCAGCGTACCGATTAATCCAAGTTAAAAACCGCAGCGAGTATGTTGGACTGGAATGTTCCACAACACTTGGTACTCGATGCTGCTTGGAACGATCTATTCTCCAAGTTGAAGCAAATCATTGAGTAGATCGTCCGATCCCACAGTATCAGTCCTCCCTTCAAGGTTCCCCTGTGGATCGACCGAGAACTCAGGGCCAACTTGAAACAGGGACGAAAACTTTGGGACAACTACAAATCTTTCCGCTTGGACTCAGATTACTCTAAATACAAGGCTTCAAGAACTTGTGTTCCTTTCAGAAACATAAAATAGGCAACGATATGAGCATAGCTTCTAGGTCAAAGCAACTACTTCCATACCATAACAGATCCTCCAAGGCAGGTTGTGGAATTCATGCGTTGTCTACCAACGAGCCAGGCATTATACTCTATGATGATGACCTCATAGCAGACCTATTTGCTCTACAGTTCTCCTCAGTATATAGGAGGAGAGACACACTGGCAAACAACCATTTACTTGCACATCCAGTATTTCTGGAGCATATCTATATAGATGCAGGTGGTACAGTTTAGTTACTACTGGAACTGAACTCAGTATTCTCAACAGACCCAGACGAGCTACAACCCTATTTTCTCTCAAAATGGTAGCAGAAAGCTTTGCCGCCCCTGTTGAAGCTTTCAGCTGTATCATAAAGCTAGTCGACTACCTCTCGATTGGAAGCCGGGTGTTGTTATGCCGCAATACAACGGCAGTAACTGCCAGGACGCTGCAAAATATCAGCCGATTTGCTTGACATCGGTCGCCTGCAAGATCATAGAATATCCCATCAAATGTGCCATCCTTGGAGGCTGCGAAGATCTTCCGGGTTTACTCTGTTATACATGATTTTTCTGTGTAACTTGTGTACCAATATTTTGCTTTTGGTGTATTCTTTAAGCTGTGCAAATCTGTTGGATGTTCTCTGGCCAATTTCGGAGTTCTCATTGATTGGCCCAACTGTCGTCTGTGTCAGCCATCTTGGATTTGTCTTGCGGTAATCAGCCATCATGACCACCACACCGGTAACCCGAAACAATGAATTTCGTGCTAAGCAAACTTGTGATAAAGTAGTTAAAGAAGGATTGATTTGTACAAATTACCAAGACCGGTACCATTCGTAGCGCGTGAACCCTGTCGAACCGACAAAAAGAAGAAATACAACACGCCGGGTTCTCTTTGGTTCTGTCCGAAGTGCATGACGGCTCCACTAGTAAGATACGTACTAGCGCTAACACAAAACTACCACAGCCTAGTAACCGAAGCTGAACATCGTTTGCATGCAAAAATCTTTCTGTTCGAATCGATAATAGCGCATCTTGCACCTCATCCGTCTCCATCAATTGCTGCCTCGAAACCAAGGAAAAGAGCAAGGCGTTCACACGGCCACGCAGTACTAGAAACCTTTAGAACAGCGAACCAGCGAACAGCGACCAATAGAAGCATGTCTATCTCCACTACCCACATCCTTTTATCCAATCTACCGACTGATGCAACATGGGTAACACCCACCCTTTCGATTGATCAACGAAATATGAAGCGCTCTATAGACCGATGCACCTACGCAACCGTTGCTGCTCGATATAATCAAAGTGCGACCTCAGTAGCCTCACACAGTACAGCCAAGAAACGGGTCCAGGACCATGTGCAACCTGCAGAGATATCATTAAATCACTCGATAACCGCGCTCCTCACATCACCGAAGACCAGGCGGAAATACGGGGCATTGACACTTATATGTGCCAACGTTCCTGAGTCCAAGGCAAACTCCTTAAGGGGTAAACAGCTGGATGATTTAAAGCAATGGAATTTCCTTTGTGATAAAATCGGAGTTCAAGCCAGTCCGACTAACATAATGCGCATCACTAGACATCCAACCTCGAATCATTATGGGGAGTCCCGGCTAATGCGAGTAACATTGGGATCAACAGATGATGTCGAGACGGTGCTTTTGTCGGCATACCGCCTGCGGACTGAAAACAGTGGAATACGCATATTTCCGGATGTTCCATGGAGCGAGCGTCAACGAGACAAAGATAACTCAAACGACCACACACGGAGAGTAGCAAAAGAATTATTTTCGTTCATGGCGTGCCCGAGCTACCGACAACCAGCAACGAAGAAGCCCACGCTCATGACCTGGAAGAATGGCGTTACATCCGTGAAGCTCTCTGTGCGGGCGACGTCATACTTCAGTCGATTACACGGTTACCCGTGTCGCCAAACTACAGAGGCAGTGACCCGAGGATACTGAAACTAACGGTGCAGTCACAACAGATGGCCGTGAACTTAATCCGTAGCTGGCAGTTACTACGCAACAAACTTCCTTCGTAAGTACGACTGAAGACAGCAGTTAGAGAGCCGCAGCCACTGGTTGTTCTCGCGGAAACGACACCACCTGCAACGCAGTATAACCACAACAGCGATTCAGAAAGCTGTGCGCTAAGGCTCATGGCTATCGAGAAGGTTGTTGATGGACTACATACCGCATGTGCAAGTGAGACCAAAAACAGATAGCATTCCTATCGAGATTTGGCAATTCACCCAAAAAACCATTAGGTGCCGGCCTCTCATCGGTCGGCACAAATCCACATCATTCATGTGCTCCTAGTCAACAGCTTTTGACAACCGAGAAGCTTTCTGTATGTACACCAACGCTCAAGGCTTACTGAGTATACTTTCCGAAATGCGGCTGCGTCAAGGATCAAAAGACTGTGACCTCATCGCTATAACGGAGACATGCGTACGCCCTGACCTAAGTGACATGGAGATCGCACTGTCAGGCATGTCTTTTGTTCGCCACGACCGACTCAGCAAAAGTGGTTGGGTGGCTCTCTACTTCCGCAACTACCCCCAATGTGTGCCCACAGAGGATTCGATCTGCACGGTACCAAATTCCTTTTTGTGCCGTCTACGTTCAAAAGGCGACGACACTTGCCTAGTGGCGGTCATTTACCGCCTCCTTCCTCTACGCCCGAGATGGGCTTCTCTCTGGCATCTGCAACAACGAGGGTGATAAACATAACACACATTCTCATTATTGGCGATTTCAACCTCCATGCTCTGAAGTCCCAAGCATCTCCAGGATAACAGTTTAAGGTACATCTACAAGAGTTTGACTCCAGTTACCCGCTGTATGGCCATATCAACAATTCCACCCGATAACCGAGGAATACATAAGCCGTCAATACTGGGTCAGATATTCACCAAGAAAAATCTAATGGTCGAGAGGGTAATCCTCGACGTCCCCTTGGGCTGCAGCGACCATGTAGTCCTACTCTTGGTATATATTTGCTGTGCAGAAAATCTCGTGGAAATTGCCGACTCAACGAGAAGGTATGTACGCTACGACACATTAGCTCGGCTGGGTGAGACAGCCAACTAGATATTTTTGGCAGACGAGGCACCAGCTAGTGAATGAGAACATTTCATCGACCAGTTTAACTCTCTGGTTGCCGAAGCGTCAGCGACTAAGACCTTCCGCCCGAGAAAAGCGGTCTCGTTGCTGCGAAGTAGGATATGCAAGTGTATAGCGGT